AGAGTGACCCTGCATTCTAGATAAGTAGAGAGGAAGATGTGGGGAGGATGCCATCCTCCAAAGTTAGGGGAGGATTTCTCTCAGTTTGATTTGGAAAATAGAAGAAATGAATAGTAGTAATAGGAAGAAGAAAGCAGAATGAAAAGCGAATGGATATAAGCCTCAAAGCTGTTTCTTCCTGAGATATTGTGAATGTAGTGACCAAATAGTTTTATTGACATCATCGGATCGCCTTTGTTTAATAAAAATGACATAGAATAAATGAAAAGGAAGCGATTGGGCATGCTGATGAATCTCACTCTTGTTCGGTTTGGATGGTCACTTTAAAGTCCCCTTCAGGATAGTGATTTCAAGTTGATTTTATCCCATGCGATTCCATCATAACAATCATGATATATGATGAATCTATGACAGAGTATGCCTCAAGAAACCATCAATAGCCATGAACTTCAGACAATTACATTAGACTATAGACGAGAATGCCAACAAGACGATCTCGTGGATTCCCTTACAAGCGTGGAGGAAATTGAGAATGGTGGTGAAGCAGTTTCAGAGATTAATGGATCAAATGGTTGCGTTTCCAGTGACAAACAAGATAGCCGTCAATTTCTGCATCTACTAAGGTTGTCCAGTGATGGACTTGAAATCAACCGAGGACGCACTGTGTGGAGGAAGAAACAACAGAGATGAGGGTAATAGTTCTGTGATCGATATTATGTGATAAGTTTAGCTGTCTTTTGTGTCCACTTTTATCACTTTCCTCCTTTCAAATTTTGTTTTTGTTTCTGTCAAACTGTTGGTTGTAGAACTATGAAGTGTGGGGTCTAGAATCAGTCTAATAGAGTCAGCAAGTTGAATGTATGTACTATGAACAGGATAATCATCTTCCCCTTGACATGTCTGATTTGTGTTGTGATGTATAATTTGTTAGCAGGCAATAAGAACCAAGAATGGATTCTTTCTGATTTTTTGTTTTTTTTTTTTTTTGTACAAGAAGCTAATGTGGTTATTTTTTAATAATGGATGTTGATTCAAAATTTTGTCTCTCTTAATATCTATCCATAGGAAAATTTAAAATTACATCGATTTTGACTCTAAATTTTTAGAGGAAGTCAATTGACTTTTAGTTTTCCACTATATTAACTTAAAATAGTATAAAAATTAGAACCGGAACGACCCAGATTTACACTAACAGATATTATTTCTTTGGACTTTTCCTTTCCGGCTTTAAAACTCGTCTAGTAGGGAAAGGTTTCCACTCTTATTAAGCGTGGTTTGTTCTCCTCCCCAACAAATGTAGGACATCACAATCCACCCCCCTTCAGGGCCAGCGTCCTCGCTGCTGACACTCTTTCTTTCCTCCAATCGATGTGGGACCACCCCCAAATTCACCCCCCTTTGGGGCCAGCGTCCTTATTGATACACCACCTCGTGTCTACCCTCCTTCGGGGAACAACGAGAAGGTTGGTACATCGTTCGATGTCTGGCTTTGATACCATTTGTAACGACCCAAATCCACTGCTAGCATATATTGTCTTCTTTGACCTTTCCCTTTCGGGCTTCCCTTCAAGGCTTTAGAACGCATTCACCCCCCTTTGGGGCCCAGCATCCTTACTGACACACCACCTCGTGTCTACCCTCCTTCGGGGAGCAGCGAGAAGGTTGACACATCGTCCGGTGTCTGGTTTTGATACCATTTGCAACGACCCAAATCCACTGTTAACATATATTGTCCTCTTTGAGCTTTCCCTTTCTGGATTCCCCTCAAGGCTTTAAAACGCGTTCTGGTAAGGGAAGATTTCCACACCCTTATAAATGGTGGTTTGTTCTACTCCCCAACCAATGTAGGACATCACAAGAACCTCATACCATAGTGTCATGAACAACCTCATCTCATGACATGAACCGATATTTCAAAAATACATTTAAGTTTTGACGAAACAATGAATCATAACATCATCTAAAATGAGTACAATAATTTATATTCAAGTGAAAGATGAAGTTACATGAAAAGCTCTAAGAAAAGGGACAAGAAAACACTTTCAGATAATGTTATACTTGAACATAACAAGTAACTAATCAATGGGATTTTAAGGAAATTAAATCATCATCACTACAACTGATGCTATAATGAAACTGGTAAGTTGGCACATCAGTTATTGAAATCTTCACAGATATGCCATAGAAATGGAGGAAAAAGAAGAAACTTACTAGAGCTTCTGAGTCAATCTGACCATGAAAGAGTTGACTGAAGTTTTTTCAAGAAGAATCCATGAAGATTCAAACATCTCGTGGAAAAACTCTCCGCCAATTTCCTCCGCCGCATTCCGGAATGCTCTCCCAAATGCATTGCCTTGAGATGCCCCCAGCCTCGGCTTCCCACAAACTCCAACGATCAATACTTTGTTGGGCTCTTGAGATATGCAAGCACATAGCAAAGGCTTCATTCTGGCTCCTTTCTCTCGCAATGCATCCATTATAAAGTAGCAGAACTTCGTGAGTGCTTGAGGATATCCCAACAATTTGGTGTCTATGGAATCTTCAAGCTTCACCCAACGAAATTTCCTACCACTTCTTATACAACCACTCTTTGTAATTGCAGAGCTCCCCTGTCTAAGAATTGATCTCTGGACCTTGATTGCCTGCTGCATTCCTTCTTTGAGCTTGTCAAGATTGCCCAATGATAATGCATCATAAGCTACTCCGAACTGTTTGGAAGCACTAGTGCCATCCGATTTGACAAAGGACTCAAGCAACGCAGTGACCCCATATACTACATCTGCTGCTGACACTTTTGAGCTATAACCATGTAACCTCAAGAAACTTCTGTAGTAGAAATCGGTTAGGCCGTATTCGGGAAGGTATCGCTCGAATTCGTCTTTCATCTTTCGTTTCACTTCAATATTCATGTATTGGAACTTTTGTTGGCAATCCACAAGTGCAAATCCCATACGTGCTAGAAGCAATTTGAGCTTCTTCATTCCATTGTCACTCCATGTCTTTAACTTGGTTGCAATGTATGAAGAACAAAGCATTGAATCAAACAAATTCCACTCCTGTAAGAGCATTAATCTGGGTTCATCATCATAAGTGATTCTAGATGCATCAGGGGCTCGGATCTTGGTGCCATCTTTAAGAGTAACTGAGTTAACAGCATTTAAGTTTCCTGAACTGTTTATGTGTTGTTCTAGCTCCATAACCCCAGCTTGGTACCTCTCCTCCGTCAATCTTTCATGAACAAACTGATCTGTTAAAGACACACAAGCCAGCCACAGTAATTCATTCGTGTTCTTCCTCAACGAATGAGATAGGTCATACATCAAACACCCTGAAGGCCTACCATGGAAGGTACCCATTTGATAGTATCCCCTTTTCAATTTCCTAAATATCTGAACAGGATCATCTTCATTTTCCTTTTCAACCCTTCTCCTTTTCCTTGATCCACGTCTCTCTTCATTGTCGCTTTCGCTATCATTGTCGTCATCACTATCCGATTCCTCATCAATCTCATCATCGCTGTTCAAATCGCTCGCACTCGCCAAAGCAGAAACGTCAAAATCATAAGCTAAATCGGCCTGGAGCTCGTCGTCTTTCGTATAAAGCACAACCACTTGTTCATTCTGATCACTTAGATTGTGAAGATGAATTGGGCGATGACTATCAACAACAAACACACGAGCAGCCGGACCTAAACTCAAAACCTTCCGAAGATCTCGATGACAACCCCAATTAATCAAAAGGATCGAAATGGGATCAGAAGACGAGGAAGTCAAACTAGGACCAGCATATTTATGAATTTCTTGAAAAGAAGACACAGGATAACAAGCGTAGCGAACCGAATCGGATTCAAGAACTTGAAAAATAATTTTCAAGGCACAGAGAGAATCTACATCAGAAGTCGATGGAAAAATAAGTAGAGGAGACAAAGAAGAAGCCGCCACAGATTCACGAAGCTTAGTATAAAACGATTCAACTCGTTGTTCCCTCACCATAATCCCTTCAATCGAACATCCAGAAACAAACACAAAACAAAATTCCACCGCAGAACTTCAAAAATCCAGATAAAAATTTCAAATTCGCATCAAATACTAACCGAATTAGCTTCTTGAATCCGACTAGAATCAACACAGCACCAAATAGAAAGAAAAAAAAGCTATAATCCTCGAATTCTCGAGCAGAAGGGAAAAGATTAGAAGGTGAATTTGAAATACCTGAACGTGTAAAAGAGAAAAAGAGACGGCTTTCGGTTCTGTATGCGGTGAGATCTGAGAGAGAGAGAGAGAGAGAAGAGAGGGAAATTGAAGATTGTGAGAAGAAAATGGTTCGAAAGTTTCAAAAGATTGAGATTTTGGATTTCACTTTGTAAATGAAATTTCTTTCAAATTTTTTGAAACTACCGCGAAATTTTGGCGCTCAAAGGGCAATATTACTCTACATTCGTTCTCATTTTAAGAATCGGCAGTTCTCAACGGCCGTTGATGCGTGTGGATGTTTTGGACGGTGGCGATGGGATCTAATCCTTGTCAAGTTTGAAGCCCCTTGGTATACTAATAAATAATAAATATTGTAAAATTAATTTTTAATTAAGCATTTAAATATATTTGAAAAGAAATATTCAACAAAAATATATTTATAATCCTAATATTTTTTAGGGAAGTGTCAAATTTATTGTATTAAAAATAATTAATTATCTATTTTATATTATAAATTTTTTATAATTTATAAATATGTGATTTATGATATAAAATTTTATTAAATTTATTTTAGTTGGAACTAAAATCTCTCTCTCGTATCAACTAACATTTGGGTGCTAATATAAATTCGATCACCAAAACAAAAGTGTCTCAAATCAACGCTCTAACAACTTTACAAATCAAGAAGCGAACATCGTAAATCGCTTTAGAATGCTTTCGGCTTATCCTAAAAGCATATTTATATTGCTTCCAAATAAGAAAATTAGTCGGGACTGTAACTATGGCACGATATTTTTTTTTTATTAAAACAAAAAGTAATTTTAGAAGTAAATAAGTATTTCTTCCAAAATAAATTGAATAATAATAATAATGAAAACAGAGGATAATAAGAACAACGCCACGAAACTTATTTTCTTCTTAGACATGGGAAGCACCCTCCCTGCAAATATATTATAAAAAAATAAAATTAAAATAAGAAATAATAATAATAATAATAATAATAATTTCATTTTCTCATAATATATAATTTAATATTAATTATAACATTTATAATTTTTAATTTTTTTAACAGAAAAATAAGAATGAAAAGAGAGGGAGCTGAATTACCTTGGCACTGTCGTCGGGTCTTCGGTTATGAACATTGTTGTACGGCGAAGAAGAATGCGGCGGCGGCGGGGTTCCCGGCCCCATCTTCTCCTCCCTAACTTTACCAAAAATGTGGGTAAAACCGTCGGCCGACGCCGGATTGTTCACATCCCATGATCCAAACTTCGGCACCGCCGTCCCTTCCGGCTGCACCACCAAAATGTACCATTTCAAAATGCCAAGCCAAAGGAAGAAAGCTTTAAAATTTATTTGTGGGTTCTGTTTTGATTGGTGAATAATCGAACAAGAAAGTTAAAAAAGGCAAAAAGCTTACAGCATCCGGCTTCATTCTGGTCTTCCCACGGTTGCCATGGCCTCCGTCGAAGCCCTTGCCCTCCACCACAGGGCTCTCTCTTCCCGATGGCTTTGCGTGGCGGTGGAGAGGAGAGCGGTCGATGCTATACTCTGAGCCACTCTGTTTTCGGCTGGGATTTTCACGGTGGCCAGGGGAGTTGGCGTAGGGGTGATAACCGTCGTCTTCGCGGCTCTGTTTCTTCTCGTGGGTGGTGGGTTTTGGTGCCGGAATGTTGGGTTTAACCGGAGGAGCTTCATGGGAGTTGTCGGCGAACATCTCTGGATATTCCTCAGGATCGTTTGGGTTTCTGATTGGTCCGCCGCCTCTGCCCTTTCTGGCCTTGTCGAAGAACACTGTGTATGGAACATTCCCTTCGTTTTCCCAATTTCCAAAAGCTGGTACGTGTGATCGTTGCTGTCCCAACAAAACCCATTTTTCAAAACAACAATTTATTGAACTGTGCATTATAAGAAAAGAACATAGAAATCATTTTGGAGAAACTAAAAATAAAATCAGGAGAGCAGAGCTTATGCTTAAACTGGACAATATCATGCCACTGTGTAAATTCGTAGTTTTTAACATGGTATGAAGTTATGCCTTTAACTTAGCCATATAAATAGAATCCTCAAATATTTAACAAAAAATTGTGAGTGTCAAATGTGCAATAAAAAAAAGTGACTCAAGGGTCAAACACAAGAGATACTTTGTTCGAGGGGCTCCAAAGAAAGAAGCCGAACCTCAATTAAGGGGAGGTTATTTGAAGACTCTATAGGTCTCAAAAGAAACTCTAACAAAGGGTGTGAGGGCTCCAAAAAAAAGAGTCGAGCCTCAATTAAAGGGAGATTGTTCGAAGGCTCTATAGGGGAGACTAATAAAGGGTGTGAGCGCTCTAAAGAAAGGAGTCAAGCCTCAATTAAGGAGAGGCTGTTCGAGGGCTCTATAGGCCTCAAAAAAGACTCTATGGTAGACTTTTTGGATCGGAGGATTGTTGGATGAGAGTCTCTTGCTAATTTAGAGAATGATCATGAGTTTATAAATAAGGAATAATTTTTTGAAGAAACAAAAAACAAGACCACCTCAACTTAGGATCAAAATAAACAATATCATACAACTTTGGAGATTAGTGAACAATATCATACTATTTTCGAGATTCGTAACAAAAACAACCAAAACCTTAACTCTCACAGAAACAATTACTTCACGAGTTAAAAAAAAAAGTCAAAAAGGTTAAATCAAAGAACAGAGAAACCCCATCTTCAAACGATGGATTAAAACTGATCTACAGAACAAATTCAGTTTCAGATCTCCCGTACAACAGCCGCTCAACAAAATCCCAATTTTCTCTTAATTTTTGTCGGATTTTCTCAGCAACCAAACAGAAAGGAAAATGAAAAGAACAGGAAGAACAAGGAAGAACAAGGAAGAACAAGAAGACGATGAAAATAGAAGAACTCACCGCCATTGAAGAAGAACAGAGAGATGGGTCTGACGGGAAAGACAAAGATGAGGTTTTGGTTCGTTTTTGATGGTTCGATCAGGAAAATATCAGAGGAAACCTTAGAGAGAGAGAGAGAGAGGGAGTTTATAGAGAGGGAGAGGTTGATCGAACATGGACTGGCGGCATCGCTAAGCTTTGACCATTCTTCTTTCTGTCCGTTGAAAAGTCTTTGTCCGACGTGGCTTTTACCTGGACCTCCGGTTTCATATTGCCACTTCCTGTTTTTACTACTTCCACGCCTTCCCTACGTTCACTCACTAATAATTTCTATTTCTAAAAATATTATATTTTTTAATTATAAATATATATCCATTTTCAAATTTGAACCATTAAATATCGACTATTATTTTTCATTTAATTAAAATTGTACAAATTTTATATCAAAGTCTAGTTTGTTTGTAAATTAAAAAATGCAATATTTTATGGAACATAAAAATAAAATTAAATAATTAAATAATAATAATAATAAAAAGGTTCAAGTTGATTTTTTTTTTCAAGGTAAATATGAGAAGCTGACGGCTGAATGTTAGTTAACGGTGACCGTTGAAGGCGGCTGAAGAATAAATTCCCAATTGTTATACGGTTGAAAATTAAATGCTATTTTATCTTTTTTTTTTTAATTAATTTTTTTCTCTATTATTATTTATTATTATTATTATTTGTGATGTGAACACGAAACCAAATTTGGCTCCATTCGCAAGGACAATGGCTCAAGACATTTTCTTTTTAATTTATTAATTTTAAAACTTGGTGATTAACAGGCCAACCAAAGCTCATCTTATATATTATTAATAATTTTTATATATAAATAAGAACAACTTTAAGATGTATAAAATAGGATAAATTACATGAATTAAGTTACAATTATCATGACAGAGTGTTTAGTAATTATTGAATTAAAAAGGTTAATTACATCAATTTTTTTTTTTTTTCTGCCAAGTTTCTAAATTTTTGGAAGAGAAATTCATAAAAATAATCCTTACGAATGGACATGCGAGTCAAATTTGAAGATTATAGAGACGTGAACCTGTACCTCAAATAAATGTTACTAAAGAGCTATTGTAGCTGTGATTAGTGATATATATGGTTCAAAAGATGGATGATGGGCTGACTCAGAAGACAAATACATATGAATCAATCGGTTAAATATGTTTACTTTGAGCAATTCTATGTTAGGTGACTTATTGACAGAAGTAGATAATGTAATCATGATAGGGATGTAAAATTATGAGTCATCAAGTGTCGAATTCAAATTTCGAATTTAGATCTAAATCTCTAGACGTTAAATTATGTAAGTGCATAAGCTCACTAAATTCCTACATACCTTTAAATAGAAATTTATATTATTTATTTATTTATGTATAGATAATTACAACTTGTGTTTTATTCAAAACCAACGTGAGAAGCATTCATATTTAGTAAAACCAAACCAAACCTAATCCAACCAATTAATTTATTATTATTATTATTATTGTGATTAATTATTAATCAATTAATCAATTAATTAATAACCATGATTACAAGTCAAAATTAAAAGACAGCCAGCAACTTGCAAACGGGATCTCGCTCTCAGTTCCAATGAGGCTGGCTTTATTATAGTAATAATAATTATTAAGGTTGACTTTTTTTTTTATCATATTATTATTAGATACAGGAAATTAATGTAAATGATATAGTTAACCTAATCTTTTCCGCCTTCTCCTGAAGGTTTTGAAGACGCGATTGGTAAGGAGAGGTTTTCACACCCCAATAAAGAATATTTCGTTCTCCTTCTGAACCAATGTGAGATCCTCCAATAACCTTCTTCGGAAATAATAAACCAATATTTTCAAATTTCTTCATCGCTATTTTAATATATATATTCCTATTGAAGTATGAATATAAGATTTTTGAAGTCAGCCAAGGCATACCCACATGTACTAAATCCCATATTTTCATCCATAGGTAAACAGTTTGAGGTCCTTAACGATGAACATCGATCCTTACAGTAACCTGAGCAGTGCAAAAATGGAATAAAAAGGGGAAAAGGAAGCAAGAACGGGTGGCGGAAGAATGACGGGCTTACTTGTTCACAGTAGTCTAATTGCTGGTATAAAATAAAACATCTGCGAACAGGAACTTCCTCTACCCGCTTTCCATCATTCAGACCCTTGATTCCAATGCCAAAAGGATCTTCTTTCTTGGCCCCTGAAAGCACAGTTCATAACTTGAGTACAACCTTCTTGCTTCCATGCATTAAAACAAGAAACGAGCGAGCGAACACAATGATGGCAAACACGTCGTAGATTAAGTCTAGTATACTCTTGAAGAATGTTGACAGTATTTTTCTGTTTTTAAGTTATTCTCACATGAAGGGTGATCAAATTTTGGCATATAGACGTCTTTTGCTTGCTATATCTTCCTATCAAGAGCACATGAAGGCTGACTATCATCCAACTAATAACAGAGAAAGCCAAGAAACTGTACAGAAGACTTAAAGATTCTTCCACAAATCGTCTGCACAGTTTGGATGAAAGATCTTGAAGTTCAACAAGTTTCAAACTTCTAGGATCGACGCCTATTTGTGTATTAGTGTAACACTCCAAACTCACCGCTAGCAAATATTGTCTTCTTGGGGTTTTCCTTTCTAGACTTCTTCTCAAGGTTTTAAAACGCATTTGTTAGGGAGAGGTTTTCACACCCATATAAAACATGCTTCGTTCCCCTCTCCAACGAAGGTGGGATCTCACAATCCACCCCCCTTGGGAGCCCAACGTCCTTGTTGGCACACTACCCGACTCTGATCATTTGTAACAGCCCAAGCCCGCCGCTAATAGATATTGTCCTCTTTGGGCTTTCCATTTCGAGCTTCCCCTCAAGATTTTAAAATGCGTCTATTAGAAAGAGGTTTCCACACCCTTATAAAAAAATGTTTTGTTCCCCTCTCCAACCCACAATTAGCCCAGTCAGTTTCACCCAAATCTTTTTAGTAAAGCTCTATAACATAAAATGCACCTCAGTATTGGAGAACAATTAATGAGGTGAGAGAGCTAGCTTGCATTGGTTGAGTCTACATATAACCTCTCTCTTAGCTATTACTTTTGATTAAATACAACTGACCAAATACTTTCTTATCTGAGAAGCCACATACTGCAATTACTCCTAGTAGTGATAGGTTCAAATATTAGAATTCAAGGAACTAGCTGCTTCAGAAACATAAATACCTCACAGCTTCATCAACTAATACAAGAAAGCATTTGAAACCACTTCAAAATGTTAATAGCTAAACACTAAATAGTGAGTTCAAGTCAGCTACTCAGGCACACAAGTAAAGATACAAGATGGCTGAAAACATACAATGCACACAATAATAACAATACTAAAAGCTTGAAATGAAATCAAATCATGTTCTTGTAAGTTTACCATTGGGACTCCTAAAGCCTTGAGATCTTCATCTCCCATGTGTACAAGCGCCGTCATATCAACCTATATGAAAGAGGTTCAAAGTTCTAATTAGTTCAGGGAAGTCCGGCTGAAATCTTCAAAAATGGATTTTATACTTGAAACATAAGATTTTCATACTTCCTCTGCTTGAAACGTAATGGAATATTTTTCAAGGCCCAAGGACTGTAGGAAGTCATTCACTGATGTATCACTCTGCATCAAGACTTGTGTTCGTCAAGAAAAGAAAAATTAAAAAACAAAACATCTAATTTTCAATAGTTCACATGGTTACTCGGCTGCATCGTAAGGTCGGCTATTCCAAGTTTGATTACTACGAGTCTAGAATTACATGCATTTGGCCTACAGATAGGAAGTCTCTTCAGTTCATTAGCGAAGTAGCAAGACAAAGACTATACCCAGATGCACTAATTTGAATACCCTGGCCTAACCGTGGCGCTCCCAGAGAATTCAGAAGCCAAGGAAGCAAAAAAGTAAAAGAAAAGGGTGTACTTAAACAAAAAACTTCTAGAAGTCCTCCCAACCAATGTCAACGAGCAAAAGAAATTAGTTTCTCAGAAAAGGTGACCAACCTAACCTCCATCATGTGTTTGACAGAATATATATTTTCTAGTCTAAACAAAAATGACATAAAAATTAATGCAAGTTTCTTGCCTTTTGAGTAGCCTTTTTCCTAGTAGCAGGGTTGCCTACAACTTTTTGAGTGGTTGAAGGATGAGTTTCGACAGTATCCCTTTTTCGGGATGTTTTTGTAACTTCCAATTTTAGTTTCGATGGATCATTATTTGCAGCTTGTGGCTTCATTGTGCCAGATAACTTTTCACGTAGGTCCCGCACTCCTGAAAATGATGCAGTTCCACTTTGTTGCTGACTTTTCTTTTGGAGCTTCAAGCGGAGATCTCGAGCATCGACTTTGCGGTCTTGAAAGCCAATAGAACATAGTCAAAAACTAATAAAGTGAATTAGAATCATCTAACAAAAGATGGGTTTTAGATGAGTGATACAATTACACTCAATTCATACTTGAAGTTTGCGGCTTATCATTCACATAGAGATCATGCTCCCACTTGTCATCTTCTCTCTGCCTGAAATGCATATGGTATGAACAAAATATAATGAAATCAGAACAACTCAACAAATAATAGCATGTAGATCCTCAAACCAAGCTAACTCAGCCACTCACCAAAATAAGCATAAAAGCCATATCCATATTCAAGATCTTTGACAACTAAAATATGCTAGCACGAATCAACCCAGTAAGTTTTCGGCAATGTTAAATCCCAATTACACTTTGAATCTATATAACGAATGTGTCACAAATATTTAGCATAATCTTGGCACTGCACAAAATCATGAAGCCAAAAATAACACGAGCACAACCATTAATCCACTAAAGATCGCCCATTTCTCTAATAATCAAGTCAGCTTTGAAGCTGACAGCTCTGCTATACTATATTAGTTGTAGGAAGGCGGGAGCTGTAAAAATTTAATATCAAGTAAAGAGGACTCTATCATGATCTTACGAATCTAAAGATCTCAAAATGAAAGAATGAGCTCTTTTGCTCGCCCCTCTCCCTATCTGGGCGTAAGCACTGAATTTGACAGGGATGGGATTCATTCACTTATATTACTGCTAGCAGAAGTTCGTCTGACTGCTCAGGCGGAAACCATTACTCTGAATCGACCTAATGTGACCAAACAATCCTCATGCATTCCATGGAAGCTGCAACATCTCAAGGTGCTTAAAAGACATACAAATCTACAAGGTTCCAAAAACAACTCGAACGAGAAGAACCGCGAAGTTACAACCAAAAGTAGCAACACCTTCACTCTTTAAGTAAAATCGCAAAAAACCAGCAAGTTCAACTACAGCAAAAGACACTACGGAAGTATGTTAGCCCTAAATTCCACCATTGTACTAAAACTTGCGAATAACAGTACAAATTCCTAAAAACAATTACTTCCCACATTTCAAAAAAATCCCAAAAACGCCAAACGAGGGTGGAAAAACAAAAAAAGAAGACGAACCTCTTCCCAGTAATCGGGCGCCGGCGAGTAGAAAGGTCGGAAGAGCTTCCATTAAGGCGGTCCTTTATCGACCTATGGGTCTCGGTCTCCAATCGATCAGCATACATGTTTAGAGCTACACGAGGGACGAACAACTCAACCCTAACCCTAAATCCTGTTCGAGAGCAAAATTTGAAGCACGTATGATGGTACAGATTTCAGAAAAGTTTTGAAGGGTAAAGAAATCGGAAGAATTAGAGAAGCGAGATAGCGAGGGGAGCTGCAGTTCTTGTTTTTCCTCCGTTGCAGATGAAAAAGTGCAATCCTTTGTCTTCCAATGAACCGCAGTCCAATTCGTGTCTAAAAATCTTTTGCTTTTTAAATATTAACCCCCATTAACATTACCTACGAATTTATTTTATTATATTATATATATAAGGGCAAAAATAAACTTTTTTTTTCCTTTTTTCTTTAAAAAAAAAAAAAAAAAAAATCTTAAATGATATCAATTTCTTTTCATCATAGACTCGTGTTAGATTGTCGAGCGGTTACTAATTGTTTCGTCTCCTACAATTTCACTATCGTTCTATAATCCAACAAATTGGGAGGGAATCAATAGATTCTTTTTCGAGAGTGATTCATCTTCTCCGAATGCAGCATACAACTCTTCATTGTATTGCATTATCCAACTGTGCTTGTTCCGATAAGAAGTTAAAAAATATATATATTAAGAAACCTTCCTGCTCGAACCCTAGAACTCTAAGATCTTCTTCTCCATTACTTAGAAAAAAGTGAGCCACTGGTTCAGGTACAAGATACTGTCATTATCGTCCGCACAATTAGACATCCAACCCGTAATAGCAACGACATGCTTTCCCTCTTCATCCAACCATTGTTAATGTCATCTCTATTTGCACTATAAACTGTTGTCATTGAAAATATTTGCTAAAACTATCGCAGCTGAACAGTGGTGAAAGTACAGAAGATATGAAGATACGGAGAGAACAATAAATGAATATAAGATATTTGATTCTACTGAAAAAGAAAAATATTTAATTAAATATGATATATATGGTAAACTATAAATATAATGTATCCGGTAACACTCATTAAAAAAAAACTTATTAAAATCAAGAAAGTTACAACAACAGGAAGAATATTGACTATAACCAAGACAATATTACTTCCATAGCCTTCCCATTGCTCGACAACGGTGATGGGTCCTTTGGCGATTGCATGAAGCTGTCCAGACAGTCGCCGGCCTCGGTCATGGCTCTAGAGGCCTGAATGTTGACGCCATTGTAGTCACCTTTCCCCAAGTTGCTCTTCGCACCCTCGATGACGATGACGGCGTTGTTGTAGTGTTCGGCACAGGTGGCATAGCGCTCCTTAAGCTTGGGATCGGCAGCCTCGAACGCTAGGGACTGGGCGAGGGCACGACGCCATTTTTTTCTGTTTTGCTCAATTAAGGGCTCACACACACACACACACATATATATATACATATAATTATACCCTACAAAAACTACACCTTTTAATAGCTTTGAGGGTAAAATTAAACGTGCGTGTCTCTGATTCGTTAAGTTACGCTTTATTTAGCATAGCATCATATGAACGGACCCCAAAGCATAGGTTAAGCTTTTTTCTTTCCAATGCCAATTACAAACTTCTCCCAACTCATTGTGTCATTCGTTTGTTCATTTCTTCAATTCGAGGAAACATTTCATTCCATCATCTTTTGCTAATGTTAAGGATATTTAGTACTGAATTGTAGTTTACCATATACAAAAAGTCAAATATTTACTTACCATTTATCTTTACATTTATTGCTCCTTCCATATTCTTGTAATTTATTTAATTATAAAGAGACAACTTTCACACTATTTTAGTCAATATTCTCATGTATCTGATCTATTTTGGTTCAGCAAATCGGATCCTGTATTTTCAATGATTTCCAAATCTTTTATTCATCTTCTTTTACACCACCACTGTTCAAGTCAAATAATCTTAAAATTGATCAAAGTTAATAACTTCTTTTGCTAAAAATTCAAGGTAGTTTTGTTCAACCGAAGGAATGAAGGCGCACATTAGGCCCGGTGGATGAGTTAGCTTGATGTTCTTGTTGAACGTCTCCTCCTTTATTGTTCATATTAAGTATTCACTGGTTTGCAACAAATCAATTTTGCTAACCGTAGTCTTGAAACGCAATTTCATAGAACAATGGACTGTTTGTAGGATTTTCCACGATGATATGATATTGTCTGCTCACGATGATATGAAATTGTCTACTTTGAGCGTAAGCTTTCATAATTTTGCTTTGGACTTCCTAAAATAACTCATACGAACGAACGTGTATTCCTTACTTATAAATTCATAATCATCGCTCCCTCGGACAAACTACACTATAGAGTCTCCTCCAAGGCCTATCCAGCCCACAAACAACCTCCCTTTAGTTTAGGCTCAGCTATTCTGGAGTCCTCAACAAAGCAAAGTAGACTTTTTTCTTTTCTTTTTTTTTATTTTTTTATTTTTATAAGGTCAAAGTGAAACCAAAAATAAATAAAAACCATGTGCTAATATTAAATTCAGTAGACTTTTTATTAGTTCATGGCAATCAAGAAAGTTACACCATAAAGGAATTAGGCACCCCCAATAAGAAGATTGGATACGACCAAGATAATGCTACAAATATCTTCCACAGTCTTCCCGTTGTCAGACAACGCCGACGAGTCCTTTGGCGGCTTCGTAAGGCTGTCTAGACAGTCATCGGCCTCCGTCATGGCTGCAGAAGCAGAAGTGTTGACGCCATTATAGTCACCGTTCCCCAAGTTACTCTTTGCACCCTCGATGTCGTCAACGGCGTCATCGAAGCGTTCGCCACAGGTATCATAGTGCTCCTTAAGCTTGGGATCGGTGGCCTTGGACGCCAGGGACTGGGCAAGGGCACGACTATCAGTAGCCTTGTCATGGGCGAGGTTAAGGGTGAAGGTGGCCAACCCTTTGAGGTCTGACGTGCCAGCAGATTTCAACACGTTTGAGCAAAAAGAAGGGTTTCTAGTTTTTGGGCAGATAGTGGAAACGACGTCGTTTGGAGAAGCTGCATAGCCATTCGAGAAGACAACTGAAAGGACAAAAAGAGAAGAGACTACAAGAACAATAGAATTAGCCATTTTTATGTGCTTTTTCTTAATTTCATATTCATGGTTCATACCTAATATATATATATATACACCATGGATGGTGACTTAGTTTCAAAATTTTTATGTGCAATAAATGTGTTACCATAATTTATAAAATTCCATTTTAATTTCCTATTTAATTTTAGACGGTTAATAATGAGCTGGGATTCATAGATTATGACACGTAGGCTAAGAATGGAATCTCGTGCAGAACCCCATTGGGTCGATGAACAAAGAAGCTTCGATTGGGTGAACACGAGTTGACTCTCGATAAGATAAGAATTAGAGAACTAAAGAGATAGAAACTCCAATAAATTTTATCCTATTTTATTCATCATATTAATTAATTAATTATGATATAGGGTTTAATTTGCAAGGTTATTATTACATTATATATTTTGTTGCGATATAACCAATCGTAATTAATCATTTATTTTTAATGGTATATAAATAAAGTTTGGTATTTTATTAATTAGTCGAAGTGAGAGTATCATATACAATAAGTTTGAATAAGATTTGACCATAAAATATTTAATTTTTTTTTTATAAATTCATTAATTAAGAAAATTAATATTTCACTAGATGATCATATATGACTTGATTTTAGTCTCGAGTGAGTTATGGATTTTAGTATCGTGTGTAGTCAGTCAAAAGTTAACACCAGAGTGGCACACATGGACGGTGTATCATATAACACACCAAGAAAAATGTGCATAATAACGAAGCTTTGGTGATTGAGTTTGGAGAGAAAAAAGAGTAACTTATTATTTCTATTTTTGTTAGTTTTTCTTTTAATAGCGTTTTATTTAAAATTCTAACCTCAAAAAGCTATTAATAGGTATATTTGTGAGGGTATAAATATGTAAACCTTCGTAAGAATTAATTGAGAAAAACATAAAAAAAAAAAAAAAAAAAAAAAAAAAAAAACATGGCATATTCTAGTTTTCTTGTAGTCTCCTCTCTTTTAGCTTTCCTTTCACTTCTCTTCTTCAATGGGGTCGTGTCCATTCATGCTGCTTCCCCAGATGACGCCACTTCCACCATCTGCAAGAAAGCTACAAATCCTTCTTTTTGCTTTAACGTCTTGAAATCTGTTGGCACCACAGACCTAAAAGGACTGGCCATCTTCACCCTCAACCTCGCCCACGACAAGACTATTGGAAACCGTGCCCTCGCCCAGTCCCTAGCGTCCAAGGTCGCGGATCCCGAGCTTAAGGACCGCTATGACACTTGTGTCGAACGCTACAACGATGCCGTCAAGGACATCGAGGGTGCGAAGGGCTACTTGGGGAAAGGTGACTATAAAGGCGTCTACACTTATACTTTTGGAGCCATGACGGAGGTCGATGCCTGTCTGTTCCGCCTTTCGAAGCTGCCAAAGGACTCATCGGCACTCCCAGGCAACGGGAAAGCCGTGGAAGATATTTATAGTATCATCTTGGTTATAGCCAATCTTCTTCTTGGGCATGCTTAACTCCTTTTTGTTCCCATTTTATACTACAAAACTTGTAACTTTGAATGCCATGAATCAATAATATATTTGTGTTTGACTCCACCCGACTAATTTGAATACACAATTCAAACCTTAAAAATTGAATGGGTTAAATTTTTTTTTGTTCTATTTGGGTTAGGGGTAGTTTATGAAAAATTAAAAGTTTGCTAATAGACTTTTTGCTATGTCAACCTAACCCATCTGAAAATAGAATATACTCTAATCTTTAAAAAGTTTAATATTTGTTACCAATGTTCTCAATTACTTCCATCCATGCATGGCTGCTTCTTCTCCATACAGAGATAACGACGTGATGGAAGAAGGAACAGACATTGGTTCAGAGCTCTTTGCTGCCATTGAGGCTTTGGATGGCCGTGGTTGTGATCTCAGAACACTACGCTTCCTCGTGGTGGTGCCTTGCGGAGTTGGTTAAGATACTCGAGTATAGAGAGCATACGGGAATGAAGACTATGCCGATCTTTTACAAAGTGGATCCTTCTGATGTTAATGAAGCTAGATTTGGAGAAGATGACTTGAAGGTTCTTCAATGGAGGAAGGCTCTGTTTGAGATCGCCGGCTAATCGGTAACCAACCATGTTTTCCCCTTTTTGTTAAGCTCTTCAACTTTAAAACCCCTAGGGTTTGTTCGTATTGATTAGATCGCTTGAATCAAAGCTTGAAGAGGTTTCTTTGGGGTTCCTTCAAGTTTTTCTCGAATTTTATTCGATGGAGAGGTTTCCACACCCTTATAAAGAATCTTTCGTGCTCCTCCCCATCTAATGTGGGATCGCCTCATGTCCACTTTCCATTCAGGGGCTCAGTCTCCTCGCTGGCACATCATTCGATGTCTGGTTGGAGACGAAGCAATGAGCTTCGAATTCGCCATGAACTCCAGATATGGTTGTTTTGCCAATGCCACCCATCCCATGTAGTAGTCCAAACTTGATATCGTCTTTTTTGGGCTTTTTCTTTCGAGCTTCCCCTCAATATTTTAAAAACGTGTTTGTTAAGGGAGGTTTCCACACACTATAATAGGTGTTTTGTTCTCCTCCCCAACTGATGCGGGATCTCACATTGACACTCATTGAGAAAGAACAAGTTGTGGGAGTCACTTCAAAACTAAACCAACTTTCTTCCCTTTTGAATTCAAACTCGAATGATGATGATGATAATGTGATTTTGGTGAGAATACATGGGATGGGTGGCATTGGCAAGACAACCATATCTTGAGTTCATGGCGAATTCGAAGCTCATTGCTTCGTCTCCAATGTTCGAGAGCGATTCGAAAACGATGGAGTTACACATTAACAATAACATGATCAATGAAGAAGATTGACATATGGGATGATCTACAAGGCATGGATTTGATAAACAAAGCAATTTTCCAGTAGAGTCATCATCATCGCAACGAAAAAGAATGTTCAAAATGGAAGAACTTGAGTTCGAGGAATCCCTTCAACTCCTAAGTTTAAATGCTATTTATTGAATATGATCTTTAGATGGAGAACGTCATAAACTTAGTCATAATCTTATTAAGAAGATAGTAGATTAGGACTCCCATGTCTCAGTCAAAAGTACTCGGGAAGAGAGTAGATTATGACTCCTATATTCAACAAGTCAAAAGTACAATGAAGTTACACCCATTGATGCAATTGAGGAAGACCGTGTAGTCTAACACACCAAGAAAAGTGGGCATAATAACCCAGCTTGGTTTGAGCAAAACAGACAAAAAAATAAATAAAAATGGCATCTTCTAGTTTTCTTGCAATCTCTTCTCTTTTAGCCTTCGTCCTTTCACTTCTCTTCTTTAATGGGGTTGTGCTCATGCATGCAGCTTCCCCAGACGATGTTGTTTCCACCATCTGCAAGAAAACTAGAAACCCTTCTTTTTGCTTTAACGTCTTGAAATCTGTGGCACCACAGACCTAAAAGGGTTGGCCACCTTCACCCTCAACCTCCCCCACGACAAGGCTGTTGAAAGCCATGCCCTCGCCCAGTCCCTGGCGTCCAAGGCAATCGATCCCAAGCTTAAGGAGCGCTATGCCACTTGTGCTGAACTCTATGACGATGCCACCGACGACATCGCAACTTGAGGGAAGGTGACTACAATGGCCTTAACATTAAGGCGTCTGCCACCATGACGGAGGCCGGCGACTGTCTAGACAGCTTCACACAGCCGCTGAAGGACCCATCGGCGCTGTCGGGCAACGGGGAGGCTATGGAAAATATTTGTAGTATCATCTTGGTTATAGCCAATCTTATTCTTGGGCTTGCCTAACTCCTTTTTGTTCGCTAGAATAATATGTTTGTTTTGATTCCTATAAATTTGGACATCTTTATTGGTGACCATTTTGTTTTAAATTAAGAGATTTTCATATATTATTATTTAATTTATGTAAAAAAATATCGTATAATAAATATTAAATACTATTAATTAACATATAATTATGCTTAATTATTCCAACTATCAACTGCAATATCTCACTATCTATTGCAATATTATTATATATTTTTCAATTCAACACAATATGTTCCAAATGTTAAATAACATTTTTGCATTATCATTCTATTTTGATTTAAATTACCAAACTTTAAAATGTTGAATTACATTTAAAAATATAAAATATAGCAAATTGGAACATTTTCATTATTAAACTATTGACTAAATCAACGTGAATCGACAACACTATTAAAATATATATATATATATGTGTCTGCTTTTTATATTTATAAGTTTTAAAAAATATTTATTAATATCGACATTTTAATAAGTAAACTTAAAATATTATTTTAGTCAATTTAAATCTAATATTACTCGTAACCCAATTGAATTGAATTAAAAATATTTAATATTTGTTAAGATTTGAATTTTATAAAATTTTCAAATTAATTTTAAATTAGATATTTTTATGGAAGAAGACGATTGTGAGAGAGAGTGGTTTAGGACTACACGTTTTGATAAGAGGGAACCGTAACAGAAGAGAGTCTACGCAGAGCAAGATCAGAGATTCCAATTTCAAACAAAATTAAGCTCTCGATTACTTCCATTTATGGCGGATTCTTCGTCGTCGTCGTCAAGTCGCCTTTGGAAATACGACGTGTTTCTAAGTTTTAGAGGCGATGACACTCGCGGCGGTTTCACAGACCATCTCTACCAAGCCTTCGTACAGAACGGAATCCACACATTCAAAGACGACGACGAGATGGAAGAAGGAACAAACATTTCTTCAGAGCTATTTGCAGCCATTGAGGCTTCGAGGATGGCCGTGGTCGTGATCTCAGAACACTACGCTTCTTCACGATGGTGCCTTGCGGAGTTGGTTAAGATACTCGAGTGCAGAGAGCATATGGGAATGGAGGTTATGCCTATCTTTTACAAAGTGGATCCTTCTGATGTTCGAAACCAGAGGGGAAGTTTTGGGAAAGCTTTTCTTAAACATGAAGCCAGATTTGGAGAAGACGACTCGAAGGTGCTTCAATGGAGGAAGTCTCTGTTTGAGATCGCCGGCCTTAAAGCTTGGGTTTCTGATAATCGGTAATCAACTATTTTTTTCCCCTTTATGTTAAGCTCTTCAACTTTAAAGCTCCTAGGTTTTGTTCGTATTGATTAGATCGCTTGAATCAAAGCTTAAAGAAGACATCTGTGAAGCAATATTGAGAAGAATCAAACCTAATTTCACACTCATTGAGAAAGAAAAAGTTGTGGGAGTCACTTCAAAACTAAACCAACTTTTTTCTCTTTTGAATCCAAACTCGAATGATGACGATGACGACGACAATGATAATAATGTGATCTTGGTGGGAATACATGGGATGGGTGGCATTGGCAAGTCAACCATAGCTCGAGTTTGTTACGAGCTAATTCGAGGCGAATTCAAAGCTCATTGCTTCATCTCCAACGTTCGAGAGCAATTCGAAACGGCTGGTATTACACATTTACAAAGCAAACTCCTCTCAGGAATAACATTCTCAATGAAGAAGATTGACAAAGGGGATGATCTAGATGGCAGGGCTTTGATTAGCAAAGCAATTTTCCTAAAGAAGACACTTCTTGTCCTAGATGATGTGGATCATCTTGACCAAATAACGAAATTGATACCCGACAAGGATTGCTTTGTCGATGGTAGCAGAGTCATCATCACAACAAGAAATGCTGATTTGCTTTCGACACATGGGGTGAAAAGAATGTTCAAAATGGAAGAACTTGAGTACGAGGAATCCCTTCAACTCCTAAGTTTGAATGCTTTTAAGGAAAGGTGTCCAAGAGAAGGTTATCTGGGACAGTCCGACCGCATTGTTAAGCTTGTTGGTGGTCATCCTCTAGCACTTCAAGTCTTGGGGAGCTCTTTACAGAACAAAGATTTGAGCGTTTGGGATTACGTAATAGAAAGGCTCCAAGGAGGTTGGAGTATTGATGACAAGATTTTCAAGTGTCTTAAAGTAAGTTACGATGGGTTGGATGATGAGCAGAAGGAGATTTTTCTTGATATTGCTTGCTTCTTCAAGGGAAAGAGAAGGGATCTTGTAGAGGAAATACTCGATGGATGTGATTTATATGCCAAGAGAAATATTGAACTTCTCATTAAAAATTCTCTCATAACTTTATCTCCTCACAATAGATTACAAATGCATGATTTATTGCAAGAAATGGGTCGAAAAGTTGTTCATCAAAAACCTGTTCGAGATCGGCTGTGGTGCCTCAAGAACATAAAAAATGTGGTAAGATGTGATGCTCATTTGTTATGATTGTTGAGGATTTTTAAGTAAGGAATACATCTCCATTGGTATGAGGCATTTTGGGGAAACCAAAAGTAAAGTCATGAAAGTTTATACTCAAAGTGGATAATATCATACCATTGTGGAGGGTCTGTGATTCCTAATATGGTATCAGAGCCATGCCCTTAACTTAGCCATATCAATAAAATCCTCAAGTGTCAAACAAAAGATGTTGTGAGTCTCGAAGGTGTAGTCAAAAGTGGCTCAAGTGTCGAACAAATGATGTACTTTGTTCAAGGGCTCGAGAGAAAGAGTCACGTCTTGATTAAGGGGTGACTGTTCGAGGGCTCCATTGGCCTCAAAAAGGCTCTACAGTGTACTTTGTTCGAGGAGAGGACCGTTGAGGATTTTTGGGAGGGAGTCCCACGTTGGCTAACTAAGGGGATGGTCATGAGTTTATAAGTAAGGAATACATCTCCATTGGTATGGGACCTTTTGGGGAAACCAAAAGCAAAGCCATGAGAGCTTATGCTCAAAGTGGACAACATCATACCATTGTAGAGGGTTCATGATTCCTAACAATGATCTCTATATCTCGTGAAGATTCTCTTATTTCTTTGTATCAACTTTCAAATTTGCAGGTCACAGAAGCATCGATCCAAAGCATATTTTTGAAGACCACAGGAAAAATTGTTCTAATCCCACTCTCATTGTCGAGAATGCACCAACTTAGGTTGCTTAACTTTCACAATGTGAGACTGCAAGACCAATCGGAATGCTGCATTCCGAGTGAGTTAAGATATTTGAAGTGGAAAAGATATCCTTTTGAGTTTCTGCCATTGAATTCTGAAGTAGACTATAACCTCATTCAGCTCCACATGTGCTACAGCAATTTGAAACAACTCTGGCATGGAGAAAAGGTAACAATATTTAGCTGTTCTTTTGCAGTTTAGTCCTTACATGTTTTAAGAATTTGTTCAATGTTCTGATAGAATTTGGAGAAGCTGAAGTATATCAAAGTTGGGCACTCTCAGAAATTGTTCAAAACTCCAAACTTCACACAGCTTCCAAATCTAGAAAGATTAGATCTTGAAGGCTGCACTAATCTGAGCAACATCCATCCATCCATATTCATTGCCAAAAAACTCACTTTTCTGAGTATGAAAGATTGCATCAATATCAGTAATCTTCCCCTCCAGATTACCATACATAATCTTGAAGTTTTCATTCTCTCTGGCTGTTCAAAGCTCAAGAAGCTCCCTGAATTTATAGGCAATACAGATAGTTTACTGGAACTCCGTTTAGATGGCACCTCCATAGCTGAGCTACCTTCATCAGTTGCAAGCTTGAATCGCCTGACGGTACTAAACTTAATGAATTGTAAGAAGTTGGTTTCTGTTACTTTTTCCTTTAACAGGCTATCCTCCCTTGAATCCCTCAATCTCTGTGGATGTTCAAAGCTTGGAAACCGAACAAGAACGTTGGACGGCAGTGCTCAACGTGTGATGATCAAACGGTTAGTCCTAAGTTTGTATAGAGCTCCAAGGAGCGGCGTTTTCGGAATCCCATCAATGTCTGGTCTTTACTCTCTTACTGAATTGAATCTTAGCAATTGCAACATTGAAACGATCCCAGAAGGGATCGAGGGTTTGGTGTGGTTGAGAATGCTGAATCTAAGTAACAACAGCTTCACTGAGCTTCCAGCAAGCTTAGCTCAACTTCATAATCTAAGATCCTTAAACATGAATGGATGCAAGAAACTTGTGCAGGTTCCAGAGCTCCCGGCAAGGATTATGAAGTTGAAGATGAAGGATTGCATTTCACTGAAAACATCTACAGCCATTTCCAAGATGGACCGTTTGTACTTCATGACAGAGGTCAACCTTCTGAATTGCTACCAATTAGCCGACGATAAACACATCCAAACTTTGCTCACTTCATGGATGCAGGTTAGTTTTGGACCGTTCGTATATTTTTTCGATTAAGAAGTCAAATGTACAGGCATCTACTAGGGGAGGTTTTCACACCTTTATAAAGTATGTTTCGTTCTCCTCTCTAACCGAATCGATGTGGGATCTCACATCAAATGTTCAAACTAAGTTTGAATCTTCACCCACGTGATAAAAACTAATAAAGTTTCTAAATTTTGTTGCATTAATATCACAGTGGATGATGAGTGGATTTTGTGATATGCAGAAGACGGCCTTCCAGACAGAAAAGCTAAGCATTATGATACCTGGGAGTGAGATTCCAGATTGGTTTACAACAACCAAAATGGGTTCTTCAATCAGTATGAAATGGGATCCAAATGCACGTAATGGCAACAAGATTTGCTTTGCTTTGTGCGTGGTTTTTGGCCCGACTCACCCACAAAACATCACCACCGTCGTTTCCTTTGCCATTTCTGCATCAATGATCATTGAAAAGGAACTAGATGGCTCTGCTAGGGAGGAGGACGAAGCTTGTGGTCATGTCTTCTTGGTTTCAGGCATGGAAACGGTAGATCATATTTTGATGTTGGTGTTGCCTTGGACCGAGTCATATTTGGAGATAGAGTTTCGATTTGGTCTCAGGGTTAATCGTTCTCACTCTATTCCTTTATTGGGTTTGAAAAAGTGTGGAGTTCGTTTGATTAATATGGAAGAAGACGGGGCCGCCGTTGCATGGAAGGGCAATTTTATTCTCTTGAAGAACTCCTTCAAATTATGGCAAAAGTTGACAGTAATGAAGAAAAGAGGCCACTGCTGAAGACTTTGATTATTTTGGTTTTTTTTTTTGCCTAAATGCGTGAGGTTTTCAGAAATGTTTCGTTTTCAGAAATGTTTCGTTCTAACTATCGTGGGATCTCATAATTCACACCTCATGAGAGCCGAGCATCCTCGCTGGCACACCGGGCGTTGAGGTTTCCACTCACTCAATGTTTTGTTCTTTTCTCTAATTGATGTGGAATCTCACAACTAATAACTTCTTTTAATAGCGTTTTACTTAAAATTCTATCCTCAAAAGCTATTAAAAGGTATTTGTTCGAAACCCTCAATATGAATTAATTGAGCAAAAACAGACAAAAAAATAGAAGAAAAGAAATGGTGTCTTCTACTTTTCTTGCAGTATCTTCTCTTTTAGCCTTCGTCCTTTCACTTTTCTTCTTCAATGGCGTGGTTCCCATGCATGCATCTTTCCCCAACAGCGTCCCTTCCACCATCTGCAAGAAAACTAAAAACCCTTCCTTTTGCTTTAACATCTTGAAATCTGCTGGCACCACAGATCTCAAAGGGCTGGCCACCTTCGCCCTCAACCTCGCCCACAACAAGGCTACTAAAACCCGTGCCCTCGCCCCGTCCCTGGCGTCCAAGGCGACTGATCGCAAGCTTAAGGAGCGCTATGCCACCTGTGTCAAACACTACGACAATGCCGCCGCCGACATCAAGGATGCGAAGTACAACTTGGGGAAAGGTGACTACAATGGCGCCAACATTCAGGCTTCTGGAGCCATGACGGAGGCTGGCGACTGTCTGGACAACTTCACGCTGCTGCCAAAGAACCCATCGGTGCTGTCTAACAACGAGAAGGTTGTAGAAGATATGTGTAGTATTATCTTGATTATATCCAATCTTCTTCTAGTGCGTTCCTAAGTCCTTTTTTAGTGTGCCTTTGTACTTGGAATGCCATGAACATGTTCCCAAGTCCTTTTTTGTTGTGCCTTTGTACTTAGAATGCCATGAATCAATGAAAAGTCTGTTTTGTGAAAGAAAATAACAAGATCAAAAGGTCATTTTTAATAGTAAGTTACTTGAACGTTTACTTGCATATAATGAACAAAGTTTACAGGTATGTCAAATTTACTAGGAAGTGATTTCTCCAATACCCAAATTTAGTCCAAATGGTTACAAAAGAAAAACAACAAATGTAAGGAGTGATCATACTCTATAAATTAGATGCTTAATTGCCAAGCGTTGAATCCTTTTGTCTTCTTGACATTGGAATGATTGTAATATAATGTAGGTTTCGACGAATTATCAAAAGTAGTTAGTGGGTTTTCCCTCTCAAGCTTCACCTCAAAGTTTTAAAATGCATATGCTAAGGAGAGGTTTCCACACCCTGTTTTGTTTCTCTCTAACCGATGTGGGATCTCACAGTCAGAGTAAGCGACGCAGCCATTGTCGCCAAATGGATGGCATATACATGTAGCTTCAATGGTAAGAATATGAACAGGATGAGAGAAGAAGATGAGCTCATAGCTTCCCCAAGCCAGTCAGTCCTCCCCATTTCTTCTCAACTCTAATTAACCTCTCCTCTTTAACTAAATCCCAGTAAATAATGTAGTTTACCATAACAAAACAAGAACTACACTTGTACTTTGAAAATGACATTCGTGGGGGTGGGGGTGGGGGGGAATGATCTAAATCCAAACAGATTAGTTTGTAAACATACCCTTCCAACAGAATTAGGGGTATAGTTAGAAAAGAAACCACAATGTACATCAAGAAAAACCTAATTGATAACACTATGGTACATTGAACATAAGCACTTGAATTCTTAAATACCTTATCCAAAATAATATTGCCAAGCAGCAGCAAGCCCAGCTACCAAAATGACTTTAAACAGCAGCTTTGACTTCGAGTTGGAGGATGAAGAGGGTGCTTGTGACTCGGAGGGTTCCCAATGTCTTCCTCTAAGTTTGGCCAACAACTTTGATACTAACTGTGAAACCTGGAACTTTTTCTTTGCTGTCACAAAGAAAGAAATACGAGTAAAAAACAAGAAATTATTTAATGAGCTAGACCAATTTGGCTAGTAATTTTATACCGTTCGATGTAAAAGAGAGAATGTAAAAACAACAGTTTAACCATGAATCGAAGGGACTCGAGAGAGACAACCACATTGAATACTTTTTCAAAGCTAGACATTTGTGTACCATCTATATGAGTACCAGGGGCTTAAACATCTATAGAAGATTTTAAATTTTCAATAAATTGAAATTTGATAATGATATTCTGGCTCAGCTGTATAAAAAACTCAGCAACAGTCTCTGCATATAAATATAAATATAAATACTAACAATAAGATTTATGACTAATCTATTACGTGAAATAACATATGAGTTTCTTGATTGCCACGCAAATTGATATGGCCATTTTATAGATATTTTCATTTATGTCTTCATAAGATTCAGATTTCAACAATTTTATCAATATTCACATTTTAGGTTGTTAGTTGCTTAGAAAAATAGGACTAGACTACAAAAGCTTGGTTTTTACCTTTGTCCTTCATAAATCTTTCCTCCTCACCGACACGCCTTCGGAGGACATTGAGCAAAGATCCAAAATACAATGCAAGCACCGTGCACGTGATTGTGATCACATTATAGGGCATGCTAAAATCAGGAGTGGTAAAAGGCACAAGCAGTACTTCTGTGTAAGACAGAATGGGACTCTGCCCCTGCATTATGGATGCAAAGTTATAACTGGAATTAGTAACCAAAGAAAGTGTAGAAATCCACATACTAGAACAGTAGCTACCAAAATGCAACAGGAAACATCACCTGCCATTTTGACAAGATTGGTGATTTTGAAGAGTTATTTTCTGCGAACTGCGTACTTGTGAAAAAATCTGGAAAAGTTATTACAGCTGATGGAATATCTAATCCCTGATGAGCATCTGGTGGATATTCATCAATGTGCAGAAACCCCTAAAAAAACATACATCAGGTAAACAAACAGATAATTAAGTCTAAATATTCCACGCTTCAAACTCTATAGAAACAATACATCTAAACAATAGTTGTGCCAAATCAAGATTATATCTAATGTGGAGTTTAAAGGAACAAATGTGTCAAATTTCTAGACAAGAAAATTCTAGTAATTTTCTAGAATAACAAAATAAGATCATTATTAGCAAAGGACAAAATGTAATAACAATCGTTAAATACTACAAGAAATGGGAATTGATATTAATGAAGAGTAAAAAAAATTCCATATCCAAATAATAAAAGGCATGAAAAATTTAGAACTGAAGTGACGTATGCAATCCTTATCCTAATCCAATGAGAATTACAGACAAAAAAAAAAAAAATGATAAAAAGGAAAGCCCAAAATTTAATTTACACCTGACAGATTCTTAGATATGCACAAATCGTGTTCTTTTATTCTTTTACGAAAGAAGGATTTCATCAAAGAGATAAATCCTTATTACTCTCACCCACGTAAGTTTGGACAAATGGAGCCAACACATTGACAATCAGTATAAAAATGAAAAATATTAAGAGTTTCTGTTTAAATGTCTTGCCCCAGTGCAATGTCAAATCATTGCTCATTGAAAATCTATGCTTTTGAATTAGGTTTAACATTTGAGCAATTCATTTATACCAATTCTTAATTGAAGAGTGATTATGGGGCATATGTAACTTTACTTGGGTTTTAGGCAGAAACACACGGCCCTAGGCACATGGAATAGGATCTAACAGATTCCAGATGATAATATCTAATACAATTTTGAAACCTTGCAGCTACCATTTTTTAAACGGATTTTTTGCTATGTTATCAGAACTAGTTTACTTTATGCACAATCCTATGGGATAATAAAGAGGAGACCAAAAACTAATAACAGCACGGCAGCACCAGTATTCACCTTGCGATGGTGAAGTCAATAAAGAATTGACCACAAGTATACAAGATATACATGATTTCACTGTAATCAGCCAAGTTTGCTGTGCGTTGTCCAAGGTAAAGCATCAGGCACATATGTACAGGAACACAAGCTCGACATGACATGAACAGAATGACACACATCATTTTCTAAAAAACTGGACACAGACACCACAAAGTCAATTTCAATCAAATATATTTTTGAAAAATGTTTCTATATGACTATTTAAGGATATGAACCTGTATCATAATCAATCTAATTTAAAATTTTATTGTAAAGTAAATTAGATTTCTGGTATGTGGTATGTGGTATGTGGTATGTGTCTTGGGCAAGCTGGTATATGTGTCTAACAATGACACCTACACCCTACTCAAGGTTTTCATATTTCCTAGAATTTGAACTTTCAAACATCTCTTAAGATAAAGAGAGGACACGTTAGATCAGCAAACCATGCCAAACTAGTGTGGAAAAATCATCAAACATACCTTGTCAAATTCTATGGTTAGAGCAGCTGATTTCAAGCCACAAGGAAATTTCAGGAGCATCTCCAGCACTCCTGGTGAAACCTTATCTTCAGAAGGCGAAACTTGCATCTTCTCAACAACATTTGTAATTGAATGGGGTTGGTCGTCAATAAATACCTGTAGGGTATGATAATACACCTTGATATACCAAGGTACAACTTGAAAAACTTTAACCAGCAAGCTACAGCTGTCTGTGATCACAGTATTAGGTATCAACTGATCACTTGGTTTTGTAGATTTTAGCTGTAAGGCAATAGCACCCCTTTCATTCCCACTACCCAGTACAAACCTGGTCACATGTAATGGTGCTTGTGGAATAGACCAAACTACAGGAATTTTCCACGTGAATCTCAAGTCAAGTGGTTCAGATTCATCATACTTCTCCGCTACCGAAAACATGTAAAGAACAGATAAATGCTTGTCATTCCTGCTACTCATCTCCATATGTACTCTATCGGGATTAGCTGACAACTCAAAAGCAAGGTTCCTTGTAGAACCTTCAGAACTAGATCTTGTAACTGCTAACATCTCTTGTTCCCCAAGCATGCCTTGCAGTTCTGCCATGAGACCTTTGTCAAGCTGAATGTAAACATTACTAGACCTAGCAAGAACACATCTTCCTGGGACTTTTCTCCCAAAAATTGAGCTGAGAGACCAGCTTGGTTGTAATTGTGCTGCATTTGAATAACCCAAAGCCCCTCTGTGACTATAAGGCTGAAGAACAACTGTGAGTGTCTGGTCAAGTACAATGGCCGAATCCACAGCATTTGAATCAAATTCAGTTGACAGCAAATGCAATCTCTGAGAATGATAAAATCCTTTGTAGATAGATGGTCGGTCCATCAATACTGAAAGCCCTGATTTGTCACGACAAGGAAGAAGCTTCAACCACGGTGTTAGATTCTCTGTGCAAACAGCCTCACGAGGCAATGTGCCATACCTCATATTCTCAGAAGCAGGACGAAAGCCCCATTTAGGAGCAGAATAAGAAGTTGAGGACTCCAAGAAGTTGATTGAAGCACAAAAAAGACCTGAAAGTGAATGGGTCAAATTTTTCCAAGACGCATCAACCTCATTTGGGGGAACATCAAAAACAGCCCACAACTCAACTCCCGAAGGCTTTGCATTGCTGCTTGATATCGAATCAAATCCACCCCATCGATCATAGTGCCAACGACCTTGTGTGAAAGACAGTTCCATTTCCTTGATTCGATATTTATGAACCTGCACAAGCAAATTAGAATTTTAATGCACCAACAAAGCTCATCTGACTTTGCATGGTTGACAGGGATCCATATACTGGTACTAGTATAAGTACACCCATTTGACTTATTAGTTCATAGAACTTATTGATGTGAAGGGAAAAAGGTAACTGGTGGGAATAAAGAAAAAACAATCAGAGAGACTGGATATGATTTTCTTATGCAAAGAGAATATGCAGATTCTTCAAGCTTTTCCTTCAA